AAAAAATGTTATTCCCTTTTTGCAAACTTTTCCTTTATTACAACTAATTATTTAATTAATAATAATAATAGAGATGAACGGAAGTGTATAAGAGAGTGAAAAACGTAGTCATTTCTTTTCTCCCTCTTTTATGTCCGTTATGTTTACTTTTATTCCCGATTCAGCATTTTGTAGTCTTTGCCTGACTTTGTTCAAGGAATAAATTTAATGACTGTCACTCTATGATCCGAAGCCGAACAGCAAACTTGCTTGCGTAAATAAAATGGAGATACATATTCAACGTCCTCTGCAAGACAATTTAGTTTTGTTATACAAAGCCAGATTCGAAGTCCAACTTCATGTTTTATTAATCAGTCACGTGAATTGGACTTTATTATTAGTGAATGTTTTCCAGTAAGCCTATCGCTCACCCTCAACCTCCCCACCTTCAGCATCGGGCGGTGCAGATGTTGGTGCCCCACCAGACTTCTTTTTGGAGATTCCAGAAACAATATCGTCTACCCTCAAAAGCAGACAGGCAGACTATGCGACAATAAGAAAAGGTATATACGAGTTAATTCACATGAAAAGAAAATAATAACCAAGTAATGTTACAGTCACCTCGATTGCAGTCTTGATAGTTTGTACTTTGACCGCGTGCGGCTCCCATACGCCATATTCATTCATATCGACCACTTCGCCTGTCAGACCGTCAATTCCCCATGTATGGTTCCCAGTAGCATGTTTCGCCTAAACGGTAAATTTACATTTTCATTGCGTTAGATCTTATTTTATAATTCGTCAATATGTACTCCTCCCCACACACTTTCACTTACCCTCAGCTGGGTCAAAACCTTGATCGTATTTCCACCACAATTTTGCACTAACGTTCGTGGAATAACCTCCATCGCGTCTGCAACTGCTTTATAAGGCCATTGCTCAACACCCTCTAACGACTTTGCTTTTTCTGCCAACTTCACGCTAACCGCGATTTCGGTTGCACCACCCCCCGGCGATAATAAAGGAGCAAAGAAGACGTTACGAGCAACACACATTGCATCTTGGAGATTGCGTTCGATTTCATTGAGAATGTCCTTTGACGGACCACGTAAGAGGATTGTGCAGGCTTTGGGTTTTTTACATTTTGTTAGGAAAGTGAAGTACCTGAAATACAAAGCAGAAGTGAGTTTGTATTTTTTTTTTTTTTTTGAAAATTACGCGTGGCGGAAATTCTTACTCGTCGCCAATTTTATCGATAAAGAATAAGCCACATTCTGTTCCGACATCGGTTTCTTTCAGGTCATCTATGCGATTAACGATTGTTGCTCCAACCGCGCGGGCAATGCGGTTGTTATCCGTCTTTCTGACGCGGCGTATGGCGGAAACATTTGCCTTCATGAGGTAGTGCTGTGCAAGGTCTGATGATACCAGAGAGGCTATTAATAAGTGCTCCAAACACCGCAAGCAGAAACACAGTCGATACATTCTGCCAATAATTTATTACTGTGAAAGAAGCTCATAAAAGGACTCGTTGTGTTCTCTTGATGATTCTAATCACTTACCAGAAACACCTTTCTCAGTGAGTACCAAATCAGGTTTTACAGCAATGATCTTTTCACACATTTCTTTGATCTGTTCTTCCTCGATCTGTAATAAGCGATTCCAATGGTTTTCATCCGTAATTTCTGCATTAGTCTGTGACTCTCCTTTCTTGTACTCGAGAGGACAGTCGAGGAGAACAATTCGCGGATTTTCAATACGTCGACGCATGTGCGGATGTGTCACATCTTTGTTTAGCATTATACCGTCTAGAACTTTAGATTCTTCGATTTCCCCTCCGGGAACCTGTCAAGGAAGACAACACAAGTTATTCACACAACCAGAAATGAACATATCAACTATGATGCTGCGAAAACAAACCTTCTCAACTCTTGCGTAACGCTTAATATCTACTTCTCTTTTACCATCTTCTTCTTTTACAACAGTTCTCACAGCTTGTAGTGCTAACGTACACATTAAATCACTCCATCTGCTTACAAATTTCGTAGCGATAGAACTCTTGACGAGTTGCATCATTTCATTTTCGTCATTTGTGTCCACCGGTTTTGAGATTTCTGTGATCGTGGCGATAGCATCTTCAAGTGCTTTCTTAAATGCCGAGATGATGACAATTGGATGTATGTTACGCTCAAGATAGGGTAAAGCTTCAGCCAACACCTCACCGGCTGTCAGAGCGGAAAAACGAAAGTAAGCAATGAAATAGTTAAAAGCGAGCAGTTCAAAGTCGAAATAACATTTTTAATTCGAATTTGGTAAGACGAATCGATTGCCAGAACGCGAATTCAAATGCATACCTTGATATATATTAAAAAAATAACTCTATGTTCTCCATACTCACCTATAATAATAACACTAGTTGTCCCATCGCCAACCTCTTCATCTTGCGTTCTGCTCAACTCGATCATGCTTTTTGCGGCAGGATGTGCCACTTCAACCTCCCTCAATATCGCATTACCGTCATTCGTCAAAACCACACCACCCATTGGATCAAGTAACATTTTTAGCATTGACCGAGGGCCAAGACAAGTGCGGATGATATCGGCAACAGTTTTTGCCGCCGTGATGTTGGACAATTGGGCTTTGCGACCGGTTTCCCGGTCGACGTTTGTGTCTAACGGATTGAGTAAGGGTAAATAGTAAAATATACGTAAGCCGAGACATCCAACAAGAAGAGGCAAGCATAACATGTAGTGACCAACATATAAATGACTCACTCATTACAATCACTGGCGCCTGCATTGTGCCGTTTTGTCAGAGTGAGGAAATAATCGGTATGCGTTAAAAAGACGAGGAAAATCTTGTGGCTCGTGATCTGATGAAAGAAAGGTGTCACAGAAAAATATTAAATCAAAGTACGCGCGCAAAAGAGTACTTTGCCAGGATTTACTACAAAACAACGTATAATGCGATCAAACAAAACTTTTTCCCTCCCCTTAACGCTGGTTAAATTGTGGATCGGTTCGAGGATAGAAACAGAGCCGTT